TGATATGTGCGCTAGCACTCTGTGACAGCAATAAGTTTCGATCATATTGCTCGATACGCTCGACCGCTTGCGATGCGTAGTGATAATATTCATCTTCAAACGTTTCTCTCTCGGGCTCCTGTGCAGGATCCAACTCCTCGAGTGCTGACTGAACCGATTCAAACTCCCGAAACGCGGTTTCAAGATTCCCTAAGCGCAATTTTAACGTTGTAATACTCAGATTTGGACCATTAAAATAAGTCTTGAAACGTGTCAAAACTGATTTTAGTTATCCTCTACGAGTTTTAAGTTTTTTAATGTGTTCTGTTTTTGTATCCACGATTGCTGAATGATCGCTAATATCGCCCCCGTCATCGGACATTATGGGAGCTGTTCTTAATTTAATTACGTGAGAACCAATTTAATGAATAAAACTTTAATTCAAAATAGCATAACCCTCTCACACAAATTTTGACATGCGAGTAGGTAAAATTAGTCAGGTATGAAATATAAATAAAAATTTACTTAACAAAATGGAAAGACCTACTTGTTTCGTTTTTTTCCCTTTTGGCGCAACTGTCACCTTTCGATAAATCTCATATTTTAATTGTTCTCAGGACTCTCTTCTGTATTACAAAAACCTTTTGTGTACCGCTGTTAGTACCCCAAAACATTATGCCATACCTCAAAATGGATTCAAAATATTTGCATAATAAATCATTCTTAGACTGCTTCCGTTCATGTACCTTCCTACAACCCTAATTCCATAACAAATCGAGTTAAGCCTTTGCATTGACCGCTGTATATGTGCAGTCCAGTCCAAAAACTCATCCAAATGAATTCCTAAAAATTTTGTGTCTGTCACTAATTCAATCTCATTTTCTCCAATATTCACTTTTAGTGGCTTATCAATATTGCATTGCTTTGTTCTAAGGAACAAGATGTTCGTTTTATTTTTATTCAGAAGCAGTTTATTTTCAGAAAACCAGCCCTCAGCCCTACCAAACAAAGATGACCCTTCTGATATGAGTTCTGGCATATTTTTGGCGTCAGTAATTAGATTGGTATCATCTGCATAACATGTGATGTGCTCGTTTGGGTGATTTGCTATGGAATACAGGTCATTTAAAAATATTACAAACAAAATGGGTCCAGCTATACTACCTTGAGCAATTCCAATTTTATTTTCGATGGGGTTTGAAAAATATGTTTTCCTACGAGCGTGCGCAAAGTAGTACTTTTCCGCACGCATTTCCGGGCTCAAAGTTACACTTTTCCGCACTCAGTGCGGATACAGGCCTTATCCGCACTGAGTGCCGAAAAGTAATTATAATTGTCAAGCAACAATAAGTGCACCTGTCGACTTTGACACATGATGACAAATTTTTCCTCTGTTTCTATATCAGCCAACATCTATACAAACACCAAATATAAATTAACTTTGACACATTGTCAGATTTGTTCTCTATTTATATGCAAAAATCTACAAACTTTCTCATCAAATTTAAACGCTTTAAGATGAACAGCTCTGATGAGGATTTTCTGTTATTTTTTTTTGTTATGTAATTTTTTGATAAATGCATAGGTTCCCTTCAAGTTAATTAAAAATAATTAAACAAATTATCGTTTTTTTTTTAAATTTTTGTTATTACCTACCTGATATGAAGCTCGTAGGAAAAATTTTGTTCCTAACACGTGCGCAAAATGTCTTTTCCGCACGCAAACACGTATCCGAACTCCGCTTCGCGTCGTTCGTATAACTGTGTTTGCGTGCGGAAAAGTAACACTTTGCGCACTTGTTAGGAAAATAACTATTGTCCATTTTTCACAATTTTAACTCTCTGAATTCTACCTGTGACAACCGGTGTGAAGTTAGCAGCCGTTTTCCAGCAGCCAAAATTGTGAAGTTAGCAGCCATTTTAGCAGCCAAAAATGTGAAGTTAGCAGCCATTTTCAGCAGCCTTTTTTTATTCATATTGAAGGTAGTTTCATTCATGTATATGGTAGTTTCCTCAAACCAACATGATGTGAGGAGGCTGTTAGGACACAAAAAAATACATTCAAAAATTTAATAACGTAAAATATGATTAACTTATGAATCCTTTAACACAGCTTATTAGGGCGATAAATGGTGCTTAATCTTCAATCTAAACCTTCGAGCTTTCACGATCCGTTAGGAGGGTTAAAAAAAACCACCCCCATATGTTGAAAAAATCGCGGAAAAATAGTAAAAAATTGTGTGCGTTGATAAAACTTTGCACACAGCTCATTGAGGTGTTGATGAGCCTACAAAATGAAGGAAAGCCCCTTACGACCCGTCAGGGTAGGAAAAAACCACCCCCATATGCTAAAAAAATCGCGGAAAAATAGTAAAAAATTGTGTGCGTTGATAAAACTTTGCACACAGCTCATTGAGGCGGTGATGAACCTACAATAAAGAATCATTATACAATAGGATTGAAAAATTTCAAACCACTCAAATACGGCTTCTGCTCTAGAATCCTGAAAAAGCTGATAAATCAGAAGAAATAGAATTAGTTTATTTTCTAATTTGTGTTAAAATAAAGGCACATATTTCTAAGGGTTCAAGTACAAATAGCAATGGTAATATCGTAAATACAAGCAGTAAACCTTCAGCATCAGATATAATTAGTAGTTCCATTTCTAATACTAAACTACCGCATATTGACACCTCATTTTGATGGAAAAAATTTGAATAACTGCAAGCCTTTTGTAGAAATTTTAATGGCTGTTATCGATAAAATTCAGACTTTGTCTGAAAAGTAGAAAAATATTCTAGAAGTTGTAAAAAAGTACACCCATTGCTTCAAGAGAGTTTATGAGCCAGATCAAACAACAAATCGGTGCTTTGAAAAATTTAAGAAAGCCGATAGATCAATGGGACATGATCTTGATATGTTTTCTAAAGTAAAAAATCAGATCAGTTCACTAATAGATTTTATCAAATGTACAGAGACACATCAAACTTGCCACTTCAAATGAGCTTTTGAATTATTTAGGAAGTAGGGTTAGTGCATCAGGAGCTAGTGGTTCTGTCCCTGTCGACAGAGGCATTCAAAAGTCACAATTTGTCATTTAACTCTGGAAAATGGTAAAAACCCTAACGGGTTATTTTTCATTTTTGTAGGTTCATAACCACTTCAATGAGCTGTGTGCAAAGTTTTATTACCGCACACAATTTTTGACAATTTTTCTGTGATTTTTTCAACAGATGGGGATAGTTTTCTCCTACCCTGACAGGCCGTAACGGGTTGTCCTTCATTTTGTAGGTTCATCAACATCTCAATGAGCTCTGTGCAAAGTTTTATTAACGCACACAATTTTTTACTATTTTTCTGCGATTTTTTCAACATATGAGGGTGGTGTTTTCCTATCCTGACGGGTCGTAAAGAGTTGTCCTTCGTTTTATAGGTTCATTAGCAGCTCAATGAGCTGTGTGTAAAGTTTTATCAACGCACACAATTTTTTACTATTTTTCTGCGATTTTTTCAACATATGAGGGTGGTTTTTTCCTATCCTGACGGGTCGTAAGGAGTTGTCCTCCGTTTTACAGGTTCATTAGTACCTAAATGAGCTGTGGGCAAAGTTTTATCAACGCACACAATTTTTTACTATTTTTCTGCGATTTTTTTAACATATGGGGGTGGTTTTTTGAAGTTTTTTCCTACCCTGACGGGTCGTAAGGGGTTGTCCTTCGTTTTATAGGTTCATTAGCACCTCAATGAGCTGTGTGCAAAGTTTTATTAACGCACACAAATTTTACTATTTTTCCGCGATTTTTTCAACAAATGGGGGTGGTTTTTTTTAACCCTGACGGATCGTGAAGGCTCGAAGGTTTAGATTGAAGATTAAGCACCATTTATCACTCTAATAAGCTGTGTTAAAGGATTCATAAGTTAATCATATTTTATGTTATTAAATTTTTGAATGTATTTTTTTGTGTCCTAACAGCCTCCTCACATCATGTTGGTTTGAGGAAACTACCATAGACATTAATGAAACTACCTTCACGTTGAAAAAATATAAATAAAAAAGGCTGCTGAAAATGGCTGCTAACCACATTTTTGGCTGCTGGAAAACGGCTGCTAACTTCACACCGGTCTCAAAAACTGGGTGGGGCGTTTGCTGCAAAAATATTAAATCTCATGGGTTTTGGACTGACAGGGAAAAAATATTCCATATTAACTATCTGGAACTAGTAGCAGCCTTTTTCGCCTTAAAATGTTTTGCGAAAACAATCTCTAATTGCAATATTCTGCTAAGAATAGATAACTCGACAGCAATTTCCTATATAAACAGGATGGGCAGCGTACAATTTCCACTTTTAAGCAACCTAATTAAATTAGAGAAATTTGGCAATTGTGCGAACAAAGAAATCCTTTCATTTATGCATCTTATATTAGTTCTTCAAGTAATACAGAAGCAGATAAAGAATCCCGTAACCTGAATAAAGAAACAGAATGGGAACTCAATAATCACTATTTTAACAAAATTTTACAATCTTTTCAAAAACCAAGTATAGATTTGTTCGCTAGCAGACATAACACAAAATTGCCAAAGTATGTATCGTGGTTGCGAGATCCAGATAGTTACATCATCGACGCATTTACACTAGATTGGCATGATATTTATTTCTATGCTTTCCCACCTTTTTCCATGATCTCGAAAGTACTTAAAAAGATAATAGATGACAGAGCGGAAGGTATAGTAGTTATACCATACTGGACCTCTCAACCGTGGTATCCACTCTTCAATAGCTTATTGATTTCAAAACTCTTAATTTTCCCACCGAATGAAAATCTCCTTTTATCTTATCAAACAAATTTATTTTACATTAATAATAAACAAGCATATAACAAAAATATAATGATATTTTACATAAATTCTTGAAACACAAAATTATTGATTTTTCTTTTACATCTTAAAGCTATTTCAGTAGTGATTATTTACAAAGTTTCAATTTAAATTATCCTCATCATTTGTCCAAAAGACAATTATTTTTAGCAGTTTAGTCCAAGTTCAAAAGGCACGACCAAATCCTCCTTGTGGTCGACCCGAATGTCGTTTATCGCGCTGACAGCTGCCAATAGTGATGTCGTCATCAAATGACGATCTTCGCGGTTCAGCAAATCGCCAGAGAGTATTTTTTCGGGTTGCGGAACGTCTTCGAGCAAGCAACTTTTCAAACTATTGGCTAGAGCTCCTCTGTTGCCTGCCAATACCTGATTTATTTTGATGTTGTACATTTTTACTCGTTCCATGTACTCTTGCTGTTGGAGATTGTACGAATCGATGGCAAAAACGTCAATGACATTTCTGGAAATGGAAATTCAATATTAGGCAATTTTTCGTGAGGATAATCAAACATAATTTGATTATGCTCTGGGTTATGTGATGCGTCAATTGTGTCATACTCCCCTAACTCCTCCACCATTAAATTGTGGGCCTGCCAGTGACGTCACTATCAGCAGCTAATAGCGATGACGTCATCCGCAGAACTCGATGGAACGCTTGCGTTTCAAGCTGTGCTAGTGAGATTTTAAATGTAGAAGAAGTGGTTTTTGGTTTGTTCTCACCGAAGAAATTAAGTTTTCTTGATCCTCGAGTATCACAGAATTTGATGGTGGGGGAGTTAGGGGAGTATGACACAATTGACACATCACATAATCCAGCAAAAGATGCTTGATTATCCTCCCAAAAAATTGCCCATTGATGCCTTTTTTTTAGTTAAGAAAGTAAGAATTCTTACGTAGCTAACTCTTCTAGTATACTAGTAACTGGTGATTGTTCGTCAGTCTTTTTGGGGGCGTCATTTGAATTTCTAATTAGAAGATTTGCACTGGAAAAAAAAATCGTAACTGTCAAATTATTCAAAAATTTAACAGTTATTAAAGTGAGAGTGTATTTTTTAATGCAAAAAATTGACAACTGTAAAAATCATGTGCTCAATGTTTTTGTGATGACGTAATAACTCATTTTGAACCAGCCTTAACAGCTGTCAAAGTTGAATACAATCAAGATCAAAGTTGCTGGTTAGCCCTGCGTTTTTATTCCCATGAAATTTTACCAATGAATCCATATGATTCTATGTCAGTTATTGTCATTTTCCATTCACTAAACAAAGATAGCTAATTCATTGGTGAAGTCACTGACAAGAATAAAAACGAGGAATAACTGAAAAATCCTAGAGTTAACCAAGGATTAACAGTTCAGTAACCTTTTTAGTTTGTAATTCTTGTTCTGACAAAATCTAAAGTTGCTGTTAACTAACAGAGGCAAGCAGTATTTGCCCTATCCAATGATACTATGGTAAAAAATGAACAAAAATTACAATTTTTTCTGTTCTTACCTGCTAACCCTCTGTATATGGATGTTATTTGATATGGGGTCGACTAGTAAGTGTGTCCTTTCATTGGGTTCACCGTTCTGGGTGATAAAAACAGTGATAAAATTTAACGATAAGCATAAATCAACAAAGTACCTACAAAGGCAAAGAATTCGTTGTGACGTATTACCTGTGAAGAGTTGTCATATTTGCATAGCAAACTCCAGCAACATCCCATTATTTACTGATTTTAGCACCGTTTTTTTCTGAATTTTTATGAACTTTATTGTGTATAAAACACCCATTTGTATTTTTTTATTTTTTATTTATATTTGTTGGCTGGCAAGTGCCAAAGTTAATGAACTGTCAGATGAAGGGCTTTGTTTGCGAAACACGCTCCGAACATGTTCGGAATTGATCCAGGATTGTCGTATAGTGCAAGATACGGAGTAGAGTTAATTGAGCTCACTAAAAGTTCAACTTGTCCTAACATGTTTGGTTTATCAAGAATCTGATCTAAATCCACTCCAGGTTTCTACTCATATTTGCTAGACCTACGTTTTGAAGAGAATACAGTTCCTATATAAATGTCCATATTTGTTTAGAGCAGATCGAGCAGGTACAAATGAAAACCGTTGATATAAATTGCCATTCGCCAATATGACAGTTTTGGCATAGCATTTGTTGAAATTGAATTTTTTGGGTTCATTTTTGAGCTCTAGGCATCACATACTTTCTTTTTTTGTTTTTTGTAATTATTTTCTCAGTTTTCCCCTTGAAGATGTAAAAAAACCTTAAAACATGTTGAACCAAGTGAATATCGAGGCCGTCTATTCGGCCACCTACGTGGAAAACTATTTAGATTGTGTGGAGCAGTAAATATTTATTTACCGCTAGCAGAATGAGTCTATATCATAATATAGACCGATTTAGACCATTATTGACACTTCTTGACTGGTAAATATTTATTTACAGCCAGCAGAATAAATTAAGATCAAAATATAGACCGGTTTAGACCATTATGGACACTTCTTGCCTGGTGAGGATAATCAAACATAATTTGATTATGCTCTGGGTTATGTGATGCGTCAATTGTGTCATACTCCCCTAACTCCTCCACCATTAAATTGTGGGCCTGCCAGTGACGTCACTATCAGCAGCTTATAGCGATGACGTCATCCGCAGACCTCGATGGAACGCTTGCGTTTCAGGCTGTGCTAGTGAGATTTTAAATGTAGAAGAAGTGGTTTTTGGTTTGTTCTCACCGAAGAAATTAAGTTTTCTTGATCCTCGAGTATCACAGAATTTGATGGTGGGGGAGTTAGGGGAGTATGACACAATTGACACATCACATAATCCAGCAAAAGATGCTTGATTATCCTCCCAAAAAATTGCCTATTGATGCCTTTTTTTTAGTTAAGAAAGTAAGAATTCTTACGTAGCTAACTCTGGTAGTATCCTAGTAAGTGGTGATTGTTCGTCAGTCTTTTTGGGGGCGTCATTTGAATTTCTACTTAGAAGATTTTCACTAGAAAAAATAGATCGATTTAGACCATTATGGACACTTCTTGCCTGGTGAGGATAATCAAACATAATTTGATTATGCACTGGGTTATGTGATGCGTCAATTGTGTCATACTCCCCTAACTCCTCCACCATTAAATTGTGGGCCTGCCAGTGACGTCACTATCAGCAGCTTATAGCGATGACGTCATCCGCAGACCTCGATGGAACGCTTGCGTTTCAGGCTGTGCTAGTGAGATTTTAAATGTAGAAGAAGTGGTTTTTGGTTTGTTCTCACCGAAGAAATTAACCTTTCTTGATGCTCGAGTATCACTGAATTTGATCGTGGGGGAGTTAGAGGAGTATGACACAATTGACACATCACATAATCCAGCAAAAGATGCTTGATTATCCTCCCAAAAAATTGCCTATTGATGCCTTTTTTTTAGTTAAGAAAGTAAGAATTCTTACGTAGCTAACTCTGGTAGTATCCTAGTAAGTGGTGATTGTTCGTCAGTCTTTTTGGGGGCGTCATTTGAATTTCTACTTAGAAGATTTTCACTAGAAAAAAATAGATCGATTTAGACCATTATGGACACTTCTTGCCTGGTGAGGATAATCAAACATAATTTGATTATGCTCTGGGTTATGTGATGCGTCAACTGTGTCATACTCCCCTAACTCCTCCACCATTAAATTGTGGGCCTGCCAGTGACGTCACTATCAGCAGCTTATAGCGATGACGTCATCCGCAGACCTCGATGGAACGCTTGCGTTTCAGGCTGTGCTAGTGAGATTTTAAATGTAGAAGAAGTGGTTTTTGGTTTGTTCTCACCGAAGAAATTAAGTTTTCTTGATCCTCGAGTATCACAGAATTTGATGGTGGGGGAGTTAGGGGAGTATGACACAATTGACACATCACATAATCCAGCAAAAGATGCTTGATTATCTTCCCAAAAAATTGCCTATTGATGCCTTTTTTTTAGTTAAGAAAGTAAGAATTCTTACGTAGCTAACTCTGGTAGTATCCTAGTAAGTGGTGATTGTTCGTCAGTCTTTTTGGGGGCGTCATTTGAATTTCTACTTAGAAGATTTTCACTAGAAAAAAAATCGCAACTGTCAAATTATTCAAAAATTTAACAGTTATTAAAGTGAGAGTGTATTTTATAATGCAAAAAATTGACAACTGTAAAAATCATGTGCTGAATGTTTTTGTGATGACGTAATAACTCATTTTGAACCAGCCTTAACTGTTTACAGCTGTCAAAGTTGAATACAATCAAGATCAAAGTTGCTGGTTAGCCCTGCGTTTTTATTCCCATGAAATTTTACCAATGAATTCATATGATTCTATGTCAGTTATTGTCATTTTCCATTCACTAAACAAAGATAGCTAATTCATTGGTGAAGTCACTGACAAGAATAAAAACGAGGAATAACTGAAAAATCCTAGAGTTAAAAGAGGCCTGGGTACCTCTGTGCGACGGGTTAAACTATTTTTTGATTTACGTCCAAAGAATTGGATCAAAATCATTGAAATTTGGTGGGATGATAGATGATGAATCACAGAAGAATGAAAAGTAATTTTTTATAGAAAAAAGTAATTCTAAAAATTATCTCGCCTCTCAAAAAAAAAAAGATTGGAATATAAAATACTTCTCACATTTCTATGTTAAAATACTAACATTTTTTACCAATATAATTTTTTTGTTAAACACGTACATTCTTGTTAAACATAAAAAAACAGAAAATGTATTATTTCGGATCAATTCCTGCAATCGCAACTACATATTCTATGGCATGGCAACACTGTGAACTGCCCCGCCAACCCCCGGCCGGCCGGCGCTTCGACAACATCCCGGGAATAAAATAATATTTATTCTTATCTCAATAATTGTTTTGACCATTCCGTGCCGTCGAAGAGTTTTTGCATTGCCTTATGTGTTTTGAAAATAAACTGGGTAAAACCTTTGGTACAACTTCAGAAATTTTTGATAGGAAAAGATTACGTTTATCTACTGAACGTAAAAATTGACGACTTCCTATAAAAAAAATCTAGGTGAAATGGTAATATTAAGTACATTATTTAATATAATTAATAGGTGTGGTAACTAGGTAATTACCGCATGCGAGAGAAATTTGCAATCTCTAAGGGCGGTAATAGCCTAATTACCATACCTATTATACAGTATTTTATCTACAATCATGCGGGAACAAAATATCTAAAAGAAGCTTAAAGAATGATGAAAAAAATGAGCCTTTCACTTTTGACAGTGAAAAAGTAGAATTTAGGTGATAGGTATCGGTAATATATCTTTGGTAGGCGATTGAAGGTATTACGTACCTATGTGGATAGAGCGTGCGGTAATAATATTATCGCATGCCGTGCGGTAGAGTGCACTTTACCGCACGTATTTGCAAATGGAAAGTATCACTTTACCGGACACTATGCGGTAAAGTGCACTTTACCGCATAGTGTGCGGTAAAGTCAACTTTACAGCATAGTATGCGGTAAAGTAGAACACAAAGTGTGCGGTAAAGTGCACTTTACCACATAGTGTGCGGTAAAGTAGAATTTGATATTTATATTCAAAAATCCTCTTTTTTTCAGAAAATGGATTTTTGATCATTTCTAAATTTTATCTAATTTAATTAATTAATCTGAACCATTAATTAATTTGATCAATGCCTTTTTTTTGGAGTTGTAGATGCTCATAGGTAAAATTTTGTACCTAACACATGCGGAAAGTGCCTTTACCGCCCTTAACGGCTTGACCGAACTCCGCTTCGCGTCGTTGCGTGCGGTAAAGTATCACTTTCCGCATTTGTTAGGTAAATAACTATAATCGCTTAGTATGCGGTAAAGTGGACTGCAAGTGTGCGGTAAAGTTAACTTTACCGCATGGTATGCGGTAAAGTAGATTTTGGTATTTATGATGAAAAATCCTTTTTTTTTCAGAAAATGGATTTTTGATCATTTCTAAATCTAATCTAATTTCATTAATTAATCTGATTCATTAATTAATTTTAGTAATGCCTTTTTTTGGAGATGTTCATAGGTGAAATTTTGTACCTAACACATGCGGAAAGTGCCTTTACTGCCCTTAAGGGCTTGACCGAACTCCGCTTCGCGTCGTTCCGTCAACTGCCGTTGCGTGCGGTAAAGTATCACTTTCTGCATTTGTTAGGTAAATAACTATTACCGCATAGTGTGCAGTAAAGTAGACTTTGGTATTTATAATCAAAAATCCCTTGTTTTCCAGAAAAGAGATTTTTTGTCATTTTTAAATCTAATTCAATTTTATTAATTAATCTAATTCATTAAATAATTTAATTGATGCCTTTTTTTTGGGGGGGTGTAGGTAAAATTTTGTACCTAATACATGCGGAAAGTGCCTCTACCGCCCTCAACGGCTTGACCGAACTTCGCTTCGCGACATTCAATCAGTGCTACTTTCTATTTACAAATAAGTGCGGTAAAGGTGTTTACCGCACGTTCGTAGGTAATAGTTATTTATATCACAAGTGCGGTATGAACTTCATTTATTACAGTAAAGAGTGGTAATCACACGAGTGGTGTAATGAGCGTTACCGTACGTGTGATATACAGCATTTTATGTATGACGCAGATTTTTTTGTATGTATTCCAAATTGGTTTTATTTTCCACAAAAGATTAAATTTATAACTTTTCCGAATAAATTAATTTTAAAAAATGCCGTTTTTCAATGAAAATGAATTACGTAATGAGCGCATTACATCACAAGTGATTTATATTACATCACTAGTGATGTAATATGCGGTCATGAGCTGATTACATCACTAAGTACGATAATACAACTTATTACGTAACTCAAACACTCAAACAGGCTTAAATGAGTTACGTGATAAGCTCTTACAGTGTGGGTCGTACATAAAAATTCTTTACCGCAGTGCTGTAATAGTATATTACAAAACAAGTGTGGTATTTAGGTTATTACCGCACACGGGAGAAATTTGCCAACCGAGCCGGTGAGGCGAGCTTTGCAATCTCTAAGGGCGGACATAATCTAATTAGTAATTACCATACGAATTATATACAGTATTTTATTTACAACCGTGCGGTAGCGAAATATTTGATAGAAGTTTGGAAAAGTATAGAAAATAAAATTGCTTCTGGCACATTAATTTGACAGTGGACGGGTAGAATTTAGATGATAGGTAGATAATTGAAGGCATGCGGTAATAATATTACCACACGCTATTACAGCACGTCATGCGGTAATAAAATTACCACACGTCGTGCGGTTATATGGTACATACCGCACGCAAAATCGTGTGATATAACTTAGTTACCGCACGCTCATAGATGAAACTTTTTTACCGCACTCTTTTAAAAATACGTTTGATAGTGTTCATATTCTTTATTAATGTACACTAAGTGCTGTAAAAATTCGTAGGAAAAATTTTGTTCCCAACATGTGCGCAAAGTGTCTTTTCCTCGTCCAAAAACTTATCCGAACTCCGCTTGACGTCGTTCGTATAAAGTCTGTTTTTTTTTTAAAGATAAAAGTCAAAATGACATTATGTTGGCAATACAATGTAAAATTGTCAATGCTTTCAAATTTTCAATGTAGAAAAGGCTTGTGTTGCCAACATAGTTGCTCACTAAATTACCGGTGCAAAGTTGGCACCCGAAAATCAAGTACACCTGATTTTCTCAGGAGTTCTGAGTACTTTTAGGATAGTTCTAGAGTTCTGAGAGGGGTGCAACAATAGTTCTCATGCCTAAGTATTTTTTTTTTAAAAAAACAAAAAAAGGGGTGCTAACTTCGCGCCGCACCCCTTTTTGATAGTGCAACAGTTCTCGAGTGATTTTTCGGTTCTAAGGGTATAGTTCTAGAGTTCCTGATGGAAATTATGAATAGTTCTGCAAAAATAAAGCTAATATAACGGAAAAAGTTTTCAGGCGCGCAGGTCGCGCGGCGCGCCCCAGCCGTATTGCGGGACATAGCATCCCGGTACATCAGACATTACGCGATACATTTGAAGGCTCGTTGAGATGTATGGAGGCTGCTGGGGTCAGAACTATGGGTTAGCACTCCATAGTTCTGGTGTCTACTATTACTCAACTATGGATAAATTTCAAAATTAACTGGGGTGCTGTGAAATACACCGCGTTTCCACGCGCATCCACGCTAAATTAGCAAGCTGGCGGCTGCTGGGGCCAGAACTATGTGTTATTTCTGCAGCACTCCATAGTTCTGGTGTCTACCATTAATCTACTATGGATAAATTTCAAAATTAACTGGGATGCTGTGAAATACACCGCGTTTCCACGCGCATCCACGCTAAATTAGCATACTGGAGGCTGCTGGGGCCAGAACTATGGGTAATTTCTGCAGCACTCCATAGTTATGGTGTCTACTATTACTCTACTATGGATAAATTTCAAAATTAACTGGGGTGCTGTGAAATACACCGCGTTTCCACGCGCATCCACGCTAAATTAGCAAGCTGGCGGCTGCTGGGGCCAGAACTATGTGTTATTTCTGCAGCACTCCATAGTTCTGGTGTCTACTATTAATCTACTATGGATAAATTTCAAAATTAACTGGGGTGCTGTGAAATACACCGGGTTTCCACGCGCATCCACGCTAAATTAGCATACTGGAGGCTGCTGGGGCCAGAACTATGGGTTATTTTTGCAGCACTTCCATAGAAATTTATCCATAGTAGATTAATAGTAGACACCAGAACTATGGAGTGCTGCAGAAATAACACATAGTTCTGGCCCCAGCAGCCTCCAGCTTGCTAATTTAGCGTGGATGCGCGTGGAAACGCGGTGTATTTCACAGCACCCCAGTTAATTTTGAAATTTATCCATAGTAGATTAATAGTAGACACCAGAACTATGGAGTGCTGCAGAAATAACACATAGTTCTGGCCCCAGCAGCCTCCAGCTTGCTAATTAAGCGTGGATGCGCGTGGAAACCCGGTGTATTTCACAGCACCCCAGTTAATTTTGAAATTTATCCATAGTAGATTAATAGTAGACACCAGAACTATGGAGTGCTGCAGAAATAACCCATAGTTCTGGCCCCAGCAGCCGCCAGTATGCTAATTTAGCGTGGATGCGCGTGGAAACCCGGTGTATTTCACAGCACCCCAGTTAATTTTGAAATTTATCCATAGTAGATTAATAGTAGACACCAGAACTATGGAGTGCTGCAGAAATAACACATAGTTCTGGCCCCAGCAGCCGCCAGCTTGCTAATTTAGCGTGGATGCGCGTGGAAACCCGGTGTATTTCACAGCACCCCAGTTAATTTTGAAATTTATCCATAGTAGATTAATAGTAGACACCAGAACTATGGAGTGCTGCAGAAATAACCCATAGTTCTGGCCCCAGCAGCCTCCAGTATGCTAATTTAGCGTGGATGCGCGTGGAAACGCGGTGTATTTCACAGCACCCCAGTTAATTTTGAAATTTATCCATAGTAGAGTAATAGTAGACACCATAACTATGGAGTGCTGCAGAAATTACCCATAGTTCTGGCCCCAGCAGCCTCCAGTATGCTAATTTAGCGTGGATGCGCGTGGAAACGCGGTGTATTTCACAGCACCCTAGTTAATTTTGAAATTTATCCATAGTAGAGTAATAGTAGACACCAGAACTATGGAGTGCTGCAGAAATAACCCATAGTTCTGGCCCCAGCAGCCTCCAGTATGCTAATTTAGCGTGGATGCGCGTGGAAACGCGGTGTATTTCACAGCACCTCAGTTAATTTTGAAATTTATCCATAGTAGATTAATAGTAGACACCAGAACTATGCAGTGCTGCAGAAATAACCCATAGTTCTGGCCCCAGCAGCCGCCAGTATGCTAATTTAGCGTGGATGCGCGTGGAAACCCGGTGTATTTCACAGCACCCCAGTTAATTTTGAAATTTATCCATAGTAGATTAATAGTAGACACCAGAACTATGGAGTGCTGCAGAAATAACACATAGTTCTGGCCCCAGCAGCCGCCAGCTTGCTAATTTAGCGTGGATGCGCGTGGAAACCCGGTGTATTTCACAGCACCCCAGTTAATTTTGAAATTTATCCATAGTAGATTAATAGTAGACACCAGAACTATGGAGTGCTGCAGAAATAACCCATAGTTCTGGCCCCAGCAGCCTCCAGTATGCTAATTTAGCGTGGATGCGCGTGGAAACGCGGTGTATTTCACAGCACCCCAGTTAATTTTGAAATTTATCCATAGTAGAGTAATAGTAGACACCAGAACTATGGAGTGCTGCAGAAATTACCCATAGTTCTGGCCCCAGCAGCCTCCAGTATGCTAATTTAGCGTGGATGCGCGTGGAAACGCGGTGTATTTCACAGCACCCTAGTTAATTTTGAAATTTATCCATAGTAGAGTAATAGTAGACACCAGAACTATGGAGTGCTGCAGAAATAACCCATAGTTCTGGCCCCAGCAGCCGCCAGTATGCTAATTTAGCGTGGATGCGCGTGGAAACCTGGTGTATCTCACAGCACCCCAGTTAATTTTGAAATTTATCCATAGTAGATTAATAGTAGACACCAGAACTATGGAGTGCTGCAGAAATAACACATAGTTCTGGCCCCAGCAGCCGCCAGTATGCTAATTTAGCGTGGATGCGCGTGGAAACCTGGTGTATCTCACAGCACCCCAGTTAATTTTGAAATTTATCCATAGTAGATTAATAGTAGACACCAGAACTATGGAGTGCTGCAGAAATAACACATAGTTCTGGCCCCAGCAGCCGCCAGTATGCTAATTTAGCGTGGATGCGCGTGGAAACCTGGTGTATTTCACAGCACCCCAGTTAATTTTGAAATTTATCCATAGTAGAGTAATAGTAGACACCAGAATTATGGAGTGCTGCAGAAATAACCCATAGTTCTGGCCCCAGCAGCCTCCATACATCTCAACGAGCCTTCAAATGTATCGCGTAATGTCTGATGTGCCGGGATGCTATGTCCCGCAATACGGCTGGGGCGCGCCGCGCGACCTGCGCGCCTGAAAACTTTTTCCGTTATATTAGCTTCATTTTTGCAGAACTATTCATAATTTCCATCAGGAACTCTAGAACTATACCCTTAGAACCGAAAAATCACTCGAGAACTGTTGCACTATCAAAAAGGGGTGCGGCGCGAAGTTAGCACCCCTGCGGAAAAGTAACACTTTGCGCATTTGTTAGGAAAATAACTATCTCAGCATAAATAATGATAATAACAATGATATTACTGATGCTCATCCATCAAATTAAAAAAAAAAACTCAATGGAGATAAATTCTGCGGAATCCATGAGGTAAATTTACTAGGTCACAGGTGTGTTGGCATCAAGCATCAACAAGTCTTTTGAAACTGGTGTGTTCCCTTCTTGTCTTAAGTCAGCGATTGTCATTCCCATTTTTAAAGGGGGCGACAGCACTGACCCTTCTAATTATAGACCAATCTCGCTATTGAGCATATTATCTAAGGTTATTGAGAAATTAGTAAAAGAACAGCTTCTTTCCTATTTAAATACATATGGCATTATAAACAAAAATCAATTTGGCTTTCAGAACGGTAAAAGCACAGATGATGCTATTTTCTCATTTTTGGAAACCTTATATCTGGGACTTAATGATCGGGAGGTTGCCGCGGCAGTGTTCTGTGATTTTTCGAAAGCATTCGACTGTGTAGATCACGGGATACTGTTGCGTAAGCTGGCTCATTATGGTATTCAGGGAATCCCTTTGAACTGGTTTGGATCGATGCTCTCCGAAAGATACCAATCTGTGAGCGTGAAGGGGGACACATCACAAAAGGCAAGAGTTTCTTGTGGCGTGCCACAGGGCTCTGTCTTGGGCCCCATACTGTTTCTTATATATGTAAATGATTTACTAAAACTTCCAGTAACTGCAAAACTAACAGCATTTGTTGATGATGCCAACGCACTATGGACCTCAAAAACTCTTGAAAATTTAAACCTAACCATCGAATCAGATCTATTAAGTATTAAACAGTGGTGCGACTCGAACAAGCTTTGCTTTAACATTCAAAAAACCAATATTTTAACTTTTAAATGTGCCTTGTCTGATATAAAAATTGAAGATCAAATCCTCGAAAACAAAATAACTGTAAAATATCTTGGCATTTACATTGATAAGCAACTTAAATTTGATTCTCATATAGACAACCTAGCAAAAAAAATATCTTGTGCCTGTTACGTCATTAGAGCAGTTACTCAAGAACTCGGCAAAAAAATAGGAAAAAATGCTTACTACTCTTTAATAGAGTCCCATATTCGATATGGGATCGCTTTCTGGGGTTTTTCGCCACAATCTTCAATTCGCACTTTATTTATTTTGCAAAAGAGGGCGGTTCGATATTTATGCAGGGTAGGTTGTAGGGAAACCTGTCGGGGCTTGTTTAAGGAGGAGGCTATTCTGACTGTGCCCTGTATTTTTATTCTTGAGTCGGTATCTCTTATATATAAAAAGTCTGCAAGTCTTGTTCAGGAAAATAATTATTATCTTCGTAATAATAATACGTTACCACTCCCAATACCAAAATTTGCCTTAACAAAGCAATCGATAATTTATGAGAGTAAAAAAATGTTTAATAAACTACCACAGGATATAAAAAACGTTTCCTGTTATAAAGCATTTCGGTCAAATGTTAAAAAATATCTAGCCACCAAGGCTTTCTACAGTTTAAAAGAGTATTATGACGACTAAATGAGCTTTGTGTTACAGTTATTGTATTTTATCTATTTTATAAGTCTAGACCTATTCATTTTGAAATTGTGTTGTGACTTGACTTTGACTGGTTGTTTTGTTATGTATGTATTTAAGCGTGAGTTTGTACAATTTTGATCATGCACCATAAGTTTACTGTCCTGTAATTTTAATATTAAGTATATTCTTTAGTCTAAGGAAAATTACCCCTTTGAGATGTTACTTGTTTTATTATTGTTTTGTTTATTTTATTATTACTCTTGCTTTGTCAATGAAAATCTACATTTTTAGACAATAAAGCTTGCTTGAAATTGAAAAATATCAGATTTTTTTATTTAAAAAAAAAAACAAGCTTTACCCATTTATCGTTTCTTTAGGGCCGGCTTATTCACCTTCTGATAAACTGTCAGGTTATATAATCTGACGGATAAAAACACAATTTGTCAAAAAATTACATTTTCACACTCATTTCTGTGCGAAATATCTCAAATTGGTTTTATTTACCTTAGCGACGTGCTCGAAATACTTCTTGCACTCCATAATGCCCGTATTACATCTGTATATTTTTCCGTGTATTTATTCATGTAGTTCATGACAACCGAAAAACTTCAAACGCAACATAAATCAGCATTATGAAAAACAAAATAATGTTGGCACCATGAACTACATGAATAAATACACGGAAAATACACACATGTAATACGGGCACAACAGTGGTTATAGTACCTATTTTAGTAGTTCAATGTGCTTCAAAAATACTCAAATTGGAGGAAATTGAACGACAAAGTGTGTAATAAAAATTAACTAGCGTACACCTGGGGTGCGCTACTACGCTAAAAAAAGAATTACATTTTGTCATTTTTATTTTTTTCTTACCTGCTAACCCTCTGTATATGGATGTTATTTGATATGGGGTCGACTAGTAAGTGTGTCCTTTCATTGGGTTCACCGTTCTGGGTGATAAAAACAGTGATAAAATTTAACGATAAGCATAAATCAACAAAGTACCTACAAAGGCAAAGAATTCGTTGTGACGTATTACCTGTGAAGAGTTGTCATATTTGCATAGCAAACTCCAGCAACATCCCATTATTTACTGATTTTAGCACCGTTTTTTTCTGAATTTTTATGAACTTTATTGTGTATAAAACACCCATTTGTATTTTTTTATTTTTTATTTATATTTGTTGGCTGGCAAATGCCAAAGTCAATGAACTGTCAGATGAAGGGCTTTGTTTGCGAAACACGCTCCGAACATGTTCGGAATTGATCCAGGATTGTCGTATAGTGCAAGATACGGAGTAGAGTTAATTGAGCTCACTAAAAGTTCAACTTGTCCTAACATGTTTGGTTTATCAAGAATCTGATCTAAATCCACTCCAGGTTTCTACTCATATTTGCTAGACCTACGTTTTGAAGAGAATACAGTTCCTATAAGTGTCCATATTTGTTTAGAGCAGATCGAGCAGGTACAAATGAAAACCGTTGATATAAATTGCCATTCGCCAATATGACAGTTTTGGCATAGCATTTGTTGAAATTGAATTTTTTGGGTTCATTTTTGAGCTCTAGCACAGCCTCCTACATTTAACAAGCCATGAAGTTAAAAAGGCAACACCGCAATCTTACCGCCAAGTGGTGCTGGTGGTGTTTGTTTGTATAAATATATATTTTTCCTACGAGCGTGCGCAAAGTAGTACTTTTCCGCACGCATTTCCGGGCTCAAAGTTACACTTTTCCGCACTCAGTGCGGATACAGGCCTTATCCGCACTGAGTGCCGAAAAGTAATTATAATTGTCAAGCAACAATAAGTGCACCTGTCGACTTTGACACATGATGACAAATTTTTCCTCTGTTTCTATATCAGCCAACATCTATACAAACACTAAATATGAATTAACTTTGACACATTGTCAGATTTGTTCTCTATTTACATGCAAAAATCTACAAACTTTCTCATCAAATTTAAACGCTTTAAGATGAACAGCTCTGACGAGGATTTTCTGTTATTTTTTTTTTGTTATTAATTTTTTGATAAATGCATAGGTTCCTTTTAAGTTAATTAAAAATAATTAAACAAATTATCGTTTTTTTTTTTTAAATTTTTGTTATTACCTACCTGATATGAAGCTCGTAGGAAAAATTTTGTTCCTAACACGTGCGCAAAGTGTCTTTTCCGCACGCAAACACGTATCCGAACTCCGCTTCGCGTCGTTCGTATAACTGTGCTTGCGTGCGGAAAAGTAACACTTTGCGCACTTGTTAGGAAAATAACTATTTCCTACGAGCGTGCGCAAAGTAGTACTTTTCCGCACGCATTTCCGGGCTCAAAGTTACACTTTTCCGCACTCAGTGCGGATACAGGCCTTATCCGCACTGAGTGCCGAAAAGTAATTATAATTGTCAAGCAACAATAAGTGCACCTGTCGACTTTGACACATGATGACAAATTTTTCCTCTGTTTCTATATCAGCCAACATCTATACAAACACTAAATATGAATTAACTTTGACACATTGTCAGATTTGTTCTCTATTTACATGCAAAAATCTACAAACTTTCTCATCAAATTTAAACGCTTTAAGATGAACAGCTCTGACGAGGATTTTCTGTTATTTTTTTTTTGTTATTAATTTTTTGATAAATGCATAGGTTCCTTTTAAGTTAATTAAAAATAATTAAACAAATTATCGTTTTTTTTTTTAAATTTTTGTTATTACCTACCTGATATGAAGCTCGTAGGAAAAATTTTGTTCCTAACACGTGCGCAAAGTGTCTTTTCCGCACGCAAACACGTATCCGAACTCCGCTTCGCGTCGTTCGTATAACTGTGCTTGCGTGCGGAAAAGTAACACTTTGCGCACTTGTTAGGAAAATAACTATTTCCTACGAGCGTGCGCAAAGTAGTACTTTTCCGCACGCATTTCCGGGCTCAAAGTTACACTTTTCCGCACCCAGTGCGGATACAGGCCTTATCCGCACTGAGTGCCGAAAAGTAATTATAATTGTCAAGCAACAATAAGTACACCTGTCGACTTTGACACATGATGACAAATTTTTCCTCTATTTCTATATCAGCCAACATCTATACAAACACCAATTATAAATTAACTTTGACACATCAGATTTGTTCTCTATTCATATGCAAAAATCTACAAACTTTCTCATCAAATTTAAACGCTTTAAGATGAACAGCTCTGACGAGGATTTTCTGTTCTTTTTTTTTGTTATGTAATTTTTTGATAAATGCATAGGTTCCCTTCAAGTTAATTAAAAATAATTAAACAAATTATCGTTTTTTTTTTTAAAAAATTTTGTTATTACCTACCTGATATGAAGCTCGTAGGAAAAATTTAGTTCCTAACACGTGCGCAAAGTGTCTTTTCCGCACGCAAACACGTATCCGAACTCCGCTTCGCGTATAACTGTGTTTGCGTGCGGAAAAGTAACACTTTGCGCACTTGTTAGGAAAATAACTATTTTATTTTATTAATATGAATCACAAAAAATGCATAATTTATTGTACTAAAGGGCCAAAAACAGTAATTCAATGAATAATTTAACTATTTGTGTAAATAAGAACAGTAAATAATAATTGATTTAAATGAATATATTTCTAGAGACTAAAGTGTTATAGGCCTATGTTTCAGTATGTCTTTTGAAAATCTAACTTTTTCTTTCTTCGGAAGGCAAGTCCATTCAAATACTTGAGCTGATTTTCGAAAATAAGAGGTACCTACTTTTAAGAGTTGGACGTTTTAGTTTGAACTCTCGAACTAGGCCTTTATCCTTGTTTGTTTCAAATCTAATTATTTCGGTTTCTTCAAAATGTTTACAACACACCACAGAATTTTTCGTTATTGTATAATCTAGGGTATAATTATCTTGGTGTATTAAATACAATAATACAAAATATGTCTTAAGAGAATAAAAAATCATTGGTTTATATACAAAAGAAATTTAACGATAATACCTAAGACTTAAACCTAAAATTCAAATGAGTCACCACAATATATGATTGCTTTTTTTTTTTTTTTAAATATCTTTATTTCACAACAATTGATATAATATTTGTTTACAATAAATTCTCTAAACAGTGCCTATATAGCTCTGGCCTCGAGAATACTTAAAATTATATGTATATAAGTGTTGGACACTTAAAAATTTACTTAATTTTAACAATACCTATCCTATATTCCTAAAAATATTTTGATTTTTTTAACAAACAGTTGGAAATTATTTATACTATTTTTTATGTTCTCTGGAACCTTGTTATATGACTTGCTGGCCAGTAAAAAAGGGTTATTTAGTCCTATATTTGTTCGTGTGTTTATTTGATAAATATTATTCTGATATCTAGTATTGTGACAATGTACCTACATCGTTATTCATTGCAAAGCTTATATTAGATTTCTGCGTTTTGTTTAATATTTTATAAATCAATTTGATTTGTTCAAACTCCAATACTACATATGTTAAATTACAAAACTATATAAACCAATAAAAAAAAAATGCCCCACTTTTACTTAAATAAAAAGTAAGTATAAAAATAATTTATAAATTTAGAAGCCTTGTTTAAAACAGTGAAACTGCCAAAGTATAGGAAAATATTTATGTGGGACATTATAAGTCTTTTGAAAATTTATGAAAACAATACTAACAAGACTAGTAAAGTAGTAAACATTAATAATCCTAAATTAAATAATAAAGATTCAAATAATCAAAATGCAATGATAGGTACATTTCATTTGATCAAACAGTTTAAATGTGAAAAAAATTTATTCCAACAAAAATCAGAAACTAAAATATTTCTGATTTTTTGTTAAAAAAAAAATAGTACCTACTTACTACCAAAATAATACCTAATTATTATTACAAAAAAAAAATGAAAAATAGTCCAAAAAAATTTAATCAAGTTGATTAAGTCTTTAAATTTTGATTTTATGATTTCACTTTGGGGACGGTACTTACACCATTTTTCTCTTCAAACTTTTGTTGCAAAGAAGATACATTCGAGTTAGATCTAGATGCATTTTTAACTCCAACCAAGTGAGCTTTAATAGGTGTTGCATCTGATTTAGCCTTGGTCACTTTGGATGCTAGTGGAGGCTTAACTTCGGCCTTCTTTTCTTGGGAACTTGGAATTGATGGTCCAGTTTTGGTGTTTTGGACCTTGACTGAATTTTTAAGAGTGACTGTCGGCTTAGTAGCTGTAATTGAAGGCTTCTTGTTGATGGCACTGGCAGAACCTCTATTCACTACATCTGGATTTTTATTTCCTGAATTCGTGTTACAACTTGTAACAAGGTCAGGACTGTTTGTTATGGATCGGTTCGACTTTATTGAAGCTTGAGAAAGGGGCCTCGTTGGTGAAGGTTTTCTGGTTCTTAAGTTAGGCGGAGTTATTTGCCTGTTAACTGTGGCAGTCTTTGAGGGATTTGTGTTAGTATAAGATGTTACATTTTTACTAGGTGAAGTTTTTATAGTCGCTGATTTATTGGTACTTCTATCACTGGTTGAATCACTGGGTTTCTTGTTATCATTGCTTGGATCACTGGGTTTTTTTGAAGCACCAAAAGGCTGTCTTGAATTATCAGTTCTAAAAGAACTCAATATAGGTTTTGAGTCTTTATCTGGTTTTTTAATAACACGTTCTTGGACTGGCACATTGACAGCGAACAGTAATATGTAACCACTTGAAGTAGTGCTGGCACTTGACTTTAGATTGCCCATGTTACTATATTCATTTTCACTTGGTGATAAATTTGCATAGTCGGAGCTGTTAGGTGAGGAAACGCGTTGTGCTTCCTTTTTCTTCTTCAACGTTGAAGTCGAGTAAATAGAATCAAAATTTCTATTTTGTATTTCAGATACAATTTCGCCCAAAACTCCACTGTCTGTAGCATCTGGAGCATTATTAGCTTTCTTTATTTCTCTCGTAGGTGACTCATCAATGACTGCATAAATATTATCACCACTCTCAGGACTATTTTTTTCACTTATTCTCCCAAGGGCTTCATTCAAACAGTCATCATACTGATCACTGAATTTATCAGACGATTTACCTTCTCCTGGTGGAGGAACTGGAGGTGGAGGACTTTTTGGTCTCGATCTAGCAATGCTTAGTGGCCTTTTGTAGCCATCAGGCTGCCTCATAAATCCAAAAGTCTGTATGTTTGTCCGTTTTTTGGGGCTCGTTGCTCTCATGCTTTGAGTTCTCATGACTACAGCTTTTTTGGCCGCCGCTTCTACAGGTAAAGCTGTTATAGCAATGTCGATTTGAGTCTGAGGCACTGGGTCAGATATTTTCAAAGATCTTAAAGCATCTTTATCCAATACTTTTTGGGCTTTAATTTGATTCGATTTTGCCACAGCCTTTGGCAGAGATTTGTCATCGTCGTATCGTTTTAGAAAAGAAGCTATTCGGCTAATTGTACCAAAATTTTCTTTTGTAGCGGGTTTCTTAGCGGGTTCTACTTTTACATCTAATTGAGTATCGTGCACCAAAGGGATATCTGGCTTTGAAACTGGCATTTTAACTTCATTTTTAGGAGCTTCTAGAGCAGATTTGGAAAATGTCTTGGTTACATTTCTTAGTGGCGAAACCACTTCTTTGGCACTAGATGTAGAACTTTCCAGCACTGGGGATGAGATGAGAGGTCTAGCATTGCTTCCAGGGTTTGGTAATGGCAACGGAGGTGCAGTAGAAGTATTGATACCTTTTGTTAAAGTATTTTTCCGAAAGGAATTGATTTTTTGCACTATAGGCCCAACTGAAATTTTTGGAACTGGAGGTGGAGGCTTTTGATAATTAGCTGGCGCATCATTAGTCCAACCGATTGGGTCAATTATTGCGGGTGGTGCAGTTGGAGGAGGTGGAGCTGCTCGAACAACTTTGGGCTCTTCATTCTTCATAGGAGTCAAACTGAATTCTCTAAAGTTGCCAAAAAATTCATTATGTACTCCTTGAGTTGGTGAAGAATTCTGGGGAAGCAGAGAATGATTTGCTTCAGTACTCTTTGACGGCTCAGGAAATGGTGGTCCTTGCGATTTACTGGGAGATTTGAATGTTGCAGGAGGAAATTTTTTCCAGTTTATTTTTAGATTATATCTGGCATAGTAAATCAAAATTGCCATGACAGCAAGCATTGGAATAACGCCTAGGAATATGATAAACAATGCTATTACAACACCTTGATGAGCATTAGGATCAGAAGCAGGTCCACTATCTTCGGAACCGCCAGGACCAGGATATTTGCAATTAGGTGGGGCAAATCCGTCTTTACAATGACAATGGCCTCTGTTGTTGCACCAACCATTACCATTACAGTCTTCTTGACAGCTAGGAGTTTGTTTCCTCAAGCTTAATGCTTCAACGCACCTTTGATTGACACACATTTTTCCATCACCACATCTTGCACCATCAGCAGTCATTCCAGGGTCTATTTGATTGGTTCCCAAATCCACTATGGCAGTTCTGCATGGAATTATTGAGCCTTTTTTGTTTATAAAACTATGAGATAAAATAGCTACTGATTCCATGCCAAATTCTAATCTTTCATTCAAGTGTCTGCAATGCAACATTCCACACAGAACACTTTTGTTATCACATTTGAAAAAAGATTGGTTGAATTTGTTGTAGCCGCAGTTGCCATGTCTACTTCCTTTTACGTTCATATCGTAGCACTGATCGTCACTTGATTTTCCTGTTTCACCCCATAGCAACTTGCACTGATCTGTTCTAGTTCTACAGAATCCGTGATAACAAAATGCTTTACCACCATCACACTCCTCGGCATCCATTTTGAAGATATCAGCTGGACAGAATTCCGATTGGCCGGTACAGTACTCAGACAAGTCACATTCATACTCAGCCGATCTGCATATAGTTCCAGCAACTTTTGGCTTGCAAGTATTCAAATCACAACATTCTCCAGTAGCACAACTTGCGTTGGAATGCAGCATACAAGTGGTGGCATTGCAGCACGGATTTTCACAATGATCAGGTAAGCCACAGTCACATTCTTCTCCAGATTCCACAAATCCATTTCCACACACTGGACTATCGAAAAGTGATGCAGGTTTATTTTTCAGGCAATAGTCCATTCCATGAGCAAATGCCAAAAGAAGATAGTTTAGGCTACAGGATGACCAATGAGTGGGTGCCATGGTAGAGCTACTTGGAGCCATGATGCACCTGTCATCTGGGCATTTGCAATCTACTGTATCATGTTCCATACCAAAATTGTGTCCCATTTCATGGGCAATAGTGGTAGCGACTAATGCCACTACTGGAGAATGGTCAGTGTTCACTCCACCTGAATATTCATAAGTACACATTGGTCCCTTTAATGCTTTTCCAACGACACCTTGTTCAAAATTAAACTTTGTGAGTAATTGAGCATTATCGTTTGGATGTTGTTTTATTAGTTTTTCTCGTCTGTAGTGCAAAAAATTTGTGAGTGTTTTGTCACCATCTTCTGAGAAATTGATTTCATCTTGTTCAGTCCACACCACTACGCCCACAAGGGCTATAAAAATATTTAAAGGTGCGTAGAGGGAATTAATAATATTTGCTATATTTTTGCAATGATCAATTACTTTTCTTATATCCTCTCCTAATTCTCTAAATTCTCTGTTGTCTACAACTAGCACTAGTTCAACATATTTTGAGTTTTTGTCTGCATTGTATGGGCCACGGATTGTAGGAGCATTATCAGATGATCTTTTATACCTATGAAATCTATTATCAGTCGCTGTATGCTTATGATCTGGATCCCTAGCGTCTCCACCATAGCCACAAGTCTTATTATGTTCCATTAGATCGGAATGTTTATACATAAAATGCTGTGCCTCTGGCGATGTGTCGTTAATTTTGTTTGTCTCTATGTAGTGCAACTCGGTTCCATCAAAAATTACACCAGAAAGCCCTTCGCAAGTGGAAATGGCTGTCCAAGAGTCTGGCTTACCTCGGACTTTGCCATTGTAGTGGCAGTGATTGATTTCGTCTTTTCCTGGCTTGTGAATTACATGTTTTCCATTTTGTTGGTGTTTTTGGAAAAATCCTTTGGAAATTAATTGCTGATTTAATGTTAAATCTAGCATCATGTCATCCCCATTATTCGATTCCAACAGGATTTGTAAATAATCCACATGCTTGCCTTCTTTTTCTTTGGTATCCGAAATTCGTCTTTTTTCTCTCCCATGATATATCTTTGGTTTAACGAGTGTGTGGCGACTGAAATCCGACACAGGATGTAGTTGTTCGATTCTTTGTTTTTTTAGGGTATTCTCCTCACAAACGCCCGGAAGTGTTAGCAAAAGTATCAGCACCAAACACACGAAAAGTTCAACTACAGGAACTGCCATTTTACTAGTAGGATTTCACCAAACAACATTTTTCAATTTTTGTAAACTAAATAATTTAAATTAGATTGAAAAAAAGTAGAACAAGATAAATGAATCATGTACATAAAAACACCACAAAAATGACCAACCAAACGGTCAACTGTCAGGCGTAGGTCACCGTCAAAGTGACAGATGCACTTATCAGGTTCGTTCCAACCCAGCCAAAAACCGTACAATGTACGGTCACAGTCATGCGCCATAGGTTAAACGCGTTCCAACCGAGAGATGATCGTTTACCGTACAGTTTCGTTGGCGTTCCAACCAAACCTGGGATCGTTCGAGAACTGGTTTTAGCACCGTCATTTCGATCCCGAGTGGAAAGCAAGAACCGCGTGGACTGATTCATGACTGACATGCGTAATTCAATTTTTGTCACCTGTTTTTGTTGTTCATGTTGTTGTTAAACAACCAATTTCCAATCTAACTTATAAAACTGTAGCATTTTTATTTTTTCAAGTGAAAAAAAGTACAAAATTTATTATCAGCTATTTGCTAATCCTTGATGTTATCAGCTCGCAAGGATTCAGTTTCAGATTCTTGATAATGAATCAGCGTTGGTGTTCGATTTTCCTTTTTTATATATTATTTTGTAATCCTAATCCTATATTCTTCTATTTTAATTTGCAAACCAACAAATTTAGGGTTAAAGTTATTTGAACTGTCGTCATTACGAAAACGATCATGAAACCGTTCCAACTACCCGTTGTTTCTGTACCGAGATAAAACCGTGCAAGGTCAACGCATGCGCCTGCAATCGATCCTAACAGTTCCGAAACCGTTTCATGACGATACGAAAACGGGGGGTTGGAACGAACCTATCCTCTTCTCTTTTTTATTTTTAAATGGGCTACAGGCAATAGGTGGGTTCGGCTTGCACACTCCGAGTGACTCCATTCGCACTCCAGCCGTTCGGGTATTGCTTTTTGGCGTATTAGGGGTGACTCCATTTAAGGAGAATACACACTCCGGAGTGCTTATCGATCTCGTTTTTGGTAATCGCCGCCATATTGGTTTTCAACTGTTTTCAACCATTGTCGACGTCATAACTAAGTTGTCAGCTGTTTGAACCAATGAACTATAGCTAAAAACTGGAATGCGCACACAGTGCCATATCTGCCAAAAAAATGTAGCCATGAAAGACAGATGCCACAAAGGGGAATGTTGTTTTTCTCTGTTGCTCGCTGACATATGACGTTTTCGAAAGTTTTGTCATATTTCCCTTCACAGGTTTCATCAATTGGAATACGTGTTGGAAGCAATTTTCGCCATTTAACATAATGAGTGCGACAAAAACAGGTATCCCCTCCGCAGCAGCCGCACTAGGCTTCACGTTCGTCCTTATGTGTTAGCATTCCAGTTTTTGGTTATAGTTCATTGGTTTGAACAGCCTACGTCAAGGCGAGAAACGCCATGCTGCTTACGTCACAACTGGTTGTTTGGCCAGGGGGTAGTGTGTATCATCCTTGGACTCCATTAGCGTTCGATATACAGAGTGGAGTAAATGGAGTTCACACCAAAAGTTCCACCTCGGAAAGAGAATTTTTCGTGCGTTCATTATTTTGGTCCGAGTTCTCCGAGCTTGACTTTACCGTTCGTTTATTTAAAAAGTGTACTAGGTGCAGTCTCATTCGCGTTCGTTTGTTCGTTAATTAAAATTTCTGCTGGCACTATAATACAGCGTTCAACTGCTCTGTTCTCTCGCTGGTCACGTGAATACGGTGCCGCTCAGCACGCTCGGCTCTTTGAGTAAAATACCGAAGGCAAGGTTAGAGTAAAGTAAAGCATCGGTAAAAGTGAAATGTGTAAACTGAGCTTGTTGTGTTGTCACTATTACTGTATTCCTTTTACCCGTTGAGTTACTAGGAGCTGCGCATGGTCATAAACTTGAACGTTCCTTTTAAAAGTGCGTTGCACTCGAGTCGCTCATAGTGCATCCCCCTTTCCCCTGATGCACCAAATTTGCGGATGGTGCAAGAAGCCCTTTTAGGTAATGACGGTAATGTTAATAGAGAGTTCTCGTGCTTCAGACGCTACGCTAATACGGTACCGTTAATAATACGGTATTTAACATGGTATTTTATAGTTCTCGGACACATAAATCTTCTAATCCCTAAGGCCTAGTCAGTGGCGGCCAGTGGCAACCTAGTGTGGTTGTGCGCTCTTGGAAAATTTTTTGGAGGTGCCACGTCCTGTTTTACATTTATTTTGTATGTTGATTTTTTTTCTTTTTACTTTAGGACAAATTATAGAAAACAAAAATATATGTATTTAAATGAGGCTTGAATGTTTGTATTCTAGCCATAATACATAATTGATACTGAAATTTATAATTAAAAAAAAAAACCGCGAACAACAGAGTTGTCAAACCGCCAAAATGGTGAAAAAACATCGAAATATTCTCGATTGAGTGGAAACAACATTGGAAGTGTGTATTCAGAGATGGCTCCATTTGTGCTACTGTGCATTTGTGCTAATCCGCAAATGGTCTACTCACGAACGCGATCGGCTATGGTCGGGATCAGTTAACATGATCGCGGAGGAGTAACAAAGAGTAGTTGAAGGGTTTGTGTACGCGGCGGGCGCGCGGAACATCTGGTGTAATCAGCTGATGCTGATAAACAATAAAAATAAATTAAATGTTTTTGTATTTAATGAATGGTTGTGGACTTTATTTTTATTAACTACAGTAGAGCCAAGATTTTAGAAATATATACTTATTATTAAAGCGTAGAGTCTATACAGACATGTAAAATTATTTATAAATGTAAAGTTAATAATACATATACTTATCCAAAGTAGGTATCTCCCCAGATTTGAAATTGTATGAGGTTATTTATTGATTTTCCAGAATATTAGGTCAATAAACCTAGCAGTCCCATTGTAGAAAAAAACGAAGGGATTGCTAGGTTTACATGAAATACCTATAGCAGTCCCCCGTAGTGAAAATATTTTTTTAAATTTTTCTTTGGTAGGTATCAGAATTTACATAATAGGTACCTATACTTTTTAAAATGCTTTTAAATAGTATAATTGAATCAGTTAATTATTAACTGAATTACAGATTTTTTTTCAATATTATGAAATTCCTGGATTCACGTACTTATGGTGATGTGTTAGAGGCTGAAATGTTCCTGGATAGAAATTAGGTACTATCACCGGCGTATACAAGGGGGGGGGGGGTAATGGGGGTAATTACCCCCCCCAAGATCGTTGCGATGGAAGAAAAAAATTTACCCTACACCACACAAATAAATCTATTTTTTATATTTTTACTTTTCAGCAACCGGCCCTAACTTGTTTTCTAGTTTGCACAGTGTCCGCACTGCCCGCATGCCATTTATAGTGAATTCTATTCAAAGGAATAGTGCACACTGAGTGTATTCGTATCTTCCTCTACTAGCTTGTATAGGAAAGAGATAAATACATTTTTTGTAATAATTCTTCCAATAGAATTCGCTATAATTAAAAAGTTTTAGGGGAATCTCATAGCAAATTCCATTGGTAAAATCAGTGCAAAAAAATGTATTTTTATCTCTTTCTTATACAAGCTGGTAGAATAAGATACGAATACACTCAGTGCGCACTAACCCTTATTCCAATGGAATTCGCTATCAGAGTTCGGTTTCGTTATTTGTTGGTAATACAGAATATATTTACCTAAAGCCTAGTACTCATTACTGCGAAATTCGCTTTTTTTGACATTGCTTCGACAATTTGACGTTTGATACACGCATAAAACGTCAAATTGTTAAAGCAATGTCAAAAAAGTGCGAATGTCGCAGTTATGAGTAGGTACTAGGCTTAACAAGTGCGGAAAATGAATTTTTCCGCACGAGTCTGTCGTTCACCGAAAGACGCGTAGCGGAATTCGGTGAAGCAGCCGAATTCGGAAAACAGATTTTCCGCATGTGTTAGGCACAATAGTTTTTCTACAGACGTGCGGAAATAAGTAAGTACAGTTGCGATCAAAAAAAAGTAGTACAACCAAAAATCTCCAAAATCTCCTGGTCTATCATACAATAATTAAATTTATAACCAAAAATGACATTACTTTGGCATTTTTCAACAAGTTTTCAAACTACAGAGCTTCGGATGACATTATTTTGGCATTTTCCACTCTTTCCACCCGTTTTTAACCTAGAATATGTCATCGCCTGAACCCAACATATTTTAAAATGTTTATTTACTGTCAAAATTTTGTATGCTACACCGGGAGCTCAAATTGGGGTTAATAATTCTTGTACACCTTTTTTTTGATTGCAACTGTACATATACCTACATAATTTGTAGTAATTTATTGTTTTTTTTTGTCAGCCGCGCGGAAAATATTTTTCCGCACCGATATCCGTGCGGAAAAAATTTCGCCGCACCGTGCGAGATTCTCGCAGCGAGAAAATCGATTTTCCGCACTGTTTAATTGTCCTCAGTCTCGTAGAAAAAAAATGTTTTGAAGGCTCAAAGTAAACGTTTTTGGGCGTGGCACCTGAAAAAAAATGGGCTGATTACCCCCCCCCCAGACGCATGGGCTGGATACGCCGGTGGGTACTATTTAAGTGCTCCCAAATTGTCAACGAAACACTTGAATCAGTTAATTATTAAATGATTTATAGATTTTTTTTCATTATTGGCAAATTATTGGCTTCACGTTTAGTTGGTGCTGTATCAGAAGCTAAAATGTTTATGGATAGGAATTAGTGCTATTTAAGTGCTACTTATATTTGAAGAAAAACTTGAATCAGTTAATTATTAACTGAAGTAGGTACAGATTTTTGTTTTTCATTATTAAGGAATTGCTGGCTTTAAATTTACTTGAGGATGTCTTGCATTGCAGCGAATCTGATAACTGTGACTAAAATGCTGTTGTATTGGAATTTGGTGCTATTTAAGTGCTCCTAAAAAGTTGCAGTTTTTCTTCGACTATTCAGGAGCACTTAGATAACACCTAATTTCAATACAACATT